TTACTTTAAACATTTTTCTATTTGCCCATCTAGATATTTTTCTAAGCATATATAGATATAGATATAGATACAAATTTCCTTTTTTAAATAAAATTTAATGTTCAAATCAAGTTACTAAATGGCTATTAATATAGCCATCTCCCTAATACACGGAATCATATTTTAGCAGGTTTTTTGTGGTAAAATGTACATAACATAAAATCTACCATTCTGATTACTTTTGAGAATACATTTCAGTGGCATTAAATACATTTACATTGTTGCATAACCATCACCACCATCCATCTCCAGAACTTTTCATCTTCCCAAACTAAAACACTATAGCCATTTAACAGTAAATCCCCATTGTCTTCTCCCCCTAGCCCCTGGCAACCACCATTCTTCTTTCTGTCTCTAAGAATTGATTATTCCAGGTACCTCAGATAAGTGGAATTGTACAATATTTGCCTGTGACTGGCTTATTTCACATAGCGTAATAGCTTCAATGTTCATCCATGTTGTAGCATGTGCCAGAATTTTATTCCTTTCTAAGGCTGAATAATATTCTGTTGCATGTATATATTATGTTTTGTATGTCCATTCATCCATTTATGGACATTTGCATTGTTTCCCCCTTTTGACCACTGTAAATAATGCTGCTATAAACATTGGTGTACAAATACCTATTTCAGTCCCTGCTTTCAATTCCTTTGGGTAAATACTCAGAAGTGGAATTGCTGGTAGCAGATCCTTTTTTAAATCAGTCAGCCACCCTGTCTGGTTTCTATGAGTCTAATATGATGCTAAATGGTTTTGTGGTTGAAGTTATGGGAAAACCATTATTCCTTCTTGCATTTCACAATTCGGTCTAGGGTAAGTTTTCTTCATCTTCTTGATGCACCTCCATTCAACATTTCTTTAGGGAAGAGTCTGTTGGTGTTAAACTCAGTTTTCACTTATTTGAAAATGTCTTTTTTTAAAACAGTCTCAAAAAATAGTTTTGCTGGTTACACAATTGAATGTTTACAGTTTTTTTCCCCCTTTCTTTTAGTACTTTGGAATCATTCCTGTGTCTTCTAGTTTCCACTGTGGAAGTCAGGAAGTATGCCATTGGTTTAGTTGTGTTCTTTGTAAATGATCTATGTTTCCTCTCTAGCCTTTAGATTGTTTATCTTCATTGTTCTGCAGTTTCACTGAAATGTATCTAAATGTGGATTTCTTTATATTTATCGTTCTTGGTATAGATTGTGCTTCCTATATTTATGAATTCCTATCTTTCATCAATTTTTGAAATTTTTCAGCCATTTTCTCCCATTGCCTTGTCCTCATTTTTTCCTCTTCTCATGGGGAGACCAGTTTGATGGTTGTTAGATCTCCTCATTCTTTGTCTCTTAATTTTTGTATCTGCTTGTCTCATTTGGTGCATTCCGGTGAATTTTTTTCAGGTTCATTTTTTAGTACACTTTCTTCAGCTGTATCTTCTGCATTGCCATTTTAATTTTACTGGTTACATACTGTTTTTGATTTCTTGATATTATTTTTTCCCCCTAAATCTATTGGGGTATTTTTATAGTCTGTTATTTCTTGCTTATTCTTTCTAGTCTATCTTTAATTTCTTTAAACATTTCACAATAGCTTCTTTAGATTCTTCATCAGATTGTTCCAAATTCTGAAGCTCTTAAAGATTTACACCTGTTAATTATTGTCCCTCCTGATTCTCCTTTGTGTTACTTGAACCCTTATATATTTACGAACTTTTTGTGAGTTTGCATTTGGCTGAATTTAATCCAGAAGCTCAAATTGAGGATGCTTTACTCTAAGGAGAATCCAATTTGCTTCTGTTGGTCTTCAGGGGACATTAATAATATGGGGCCACTTAATCTTAAGCTTATGGTTTACTTAAGCAAAGGGAAAGTTAAAATTCCAAACACAGATCCGTGTGGGAGCAGATCTCACATGGCAAACTAGCATTTTTATTAATGTTAATATCTAGTGCTACAGCCTGGATAAGCTTGTAGCTTCTCTCTGCAAGCAGGTGGAATTTTTCCTTTCCACTAAAAAACATAGCCCCTTTGAGGGTCCCAGCTCTGGGGACAATAGGGTTGTCTCACATTTAGCTCTTCCATCTTCCTAGGCTCTAGGGCTTACTCTCTGGTCCTTCCCCAACCTCCTTTAGCCCCTACCCAGTTCCCAAAGCTCTTAAGTTTTTAGTTAGTTGATCTGTTTACTTACTATTTACTTTTTGTTTTGTACTGTTGCATTTTGATGGTTTCAGGAATGCACTCGGGAAATTACCTGTATTTTCTCAGGAGCACCCTAAGTTATTTTTAAAATATGTTTTTGGGCTTTATATTTAAGTATTCTGCATTGGGAGATTTTTGAGAACTCTGTCATACTACTGCAAAAGAATTTTTAAAACAAACAAAAATGTGATTATACAGTACATATGTTTTATAACCTGCTTTTTTTCCCTGTTGATGTATGATAAACACCTGTTGTATTAAATATAGGTCTAGAGCACCATTTTAATGAGTACATAGTCTTCCATTGCATAATATATTCAATCTTTTTCCTATTATTGGATATTTAGGGTTCTATTTTTTCATTATTTTAAACAACACTTCAGTGAATATCCTTACAGCTAAATCTTTGCATACATCATGATCTTCTTCCCTCTTTTAACTGTTTATAAAAGGAATATGTGTTAATATAAATTATTCAAATACTAAGGAAAATGAAAATTCTCCATAATCCTTTTTCACTATAATTTCAATTAATACTGTTTGGTCTATAACTGGAATCTCTTAATCAAACAACAGATGAGAATTAGGGCTAGAATATGCGAGGGACCACACCCTCTGCCTCCCCACTCCCACCCCAACAACTGGGAATATGGAATTGGAGCAGGTACTAGGGATGGGCTGAAGGTAACCAAAGACAATCAGAAATAGCCAACTGAAGGGATGAGAGACTTCCAAATAGACTCCAAAAGCTTGGGGCAACGGGGATCAGAGGTACCAGGTCTCAGCTCCAAAGTTCAGGAATCAACTCTGCCTTGCCTGTCCCCTCCTGCCAGAAGCAGATGGTCCTCTCAGTCACTGACTCCAGGCTCCTCTCCCTGCTCCTCCCTCTCTTAAAAGGGCCTGGTTTATTTTGAGTCAAAATGTATTATAAGCTCTGACACTATATCCAACCCTCTGCTTTACAATGACTTCCCCCAGGTCTCAGGGTCTTGTATCAATCTAAAGAAATCCAACTGAGTGGGGAGGGTCTAGCTTAGTAGTAGAGTGTATGCCTAGCATGCATGAGATCCTGGGTTCAACCCCCAGTACCTCCATTAATATAGATAAATAAGCCTAATTACCTCTCCCCCAAAGGAAGACAAAACAAACAAACAAAACAGAAGAAATCCAACCATGAAAAGTTTTTAAACACACTTCCAACTTCTTTCTAACTGCTCCCCTGCACCCACAACCTTCAAATGGAGCCTGGGTGTTGAGCCCAGGGTCTTCTCTCAGAATCATAAAAGGAATGGCCATCCTCTCTGATGCCTCTTAGTTCCTGAACTAGACTTTTGTGAGGACCTGCTGCACTTGCCTTTATATTCTGTGAGATACCACCAAATCACTATAATAAAGTCTACTTCAGATGGATTCTGTCAACTGTGCAGGTACAGGTAAGAGATCCCAAACGATAAAGAAGCCCAACCTCCTTTCTCCTCCCAATGAGTATGGAGCACCAGCTGGGTGACCTGCATCTTAAGGAAGCCCCCAAAATTTAGGTTGTTCATTTATAAATTTAATTCAACAAGTATTTATTGGGTACCTACTATGTACTGGCTTTTAAAGAGACAATAATCTAAGAATTCCCTAAATAGCTCGAAAATAGCATGGACTGACTTCACTAAAATTCATGATGTGGATCCTGGAGTTCCAGTTGCTCTAGAAACCACAGTTAACTGCTGGTCACTTTTGCTCCAACTAGCAGAGCTCATGGACCACTGGGCAGAATGGAAAGTTCATACCAAGATGAGCACCTTCCAGTGAGAGCTGGCCCATCACCCGCAGGGTTGGGTCTCCCCACGTAGGGCTGAGTGCCTAGGACTGGCTGTATCTAGCTCCATAACCTCCAGCCATGGTCATGCCTTGGGCAGGTAAAATATGGACACCTTTTGTCTACCCTAAATCCTCAAGCCCACCCCCACCCAAGCTCCTTAGTTCTCCAAGGCCCTTGTCCAGAGCATATGCTTATTGGGAACATTTATTAACCAGACAATTTGCACGGAGGAGTTGCCATTGTAGGGAGAGGGTAGAGAGGCTCTAAGGCAGTTCCACTGCAGGGTACACCATAACACTCTGGCTGGGCCAATTCATCTAGCTGACCACAGGGCCCTGGGAGAGGGTCTTGGTCTTGCCAGTGGACAAATCACTACCAATGACAGGAATACAGACAGGGACCCTCACTACACTGTTGGATGCTTCATACCTTCCTCTGTTACCTTCACAACCAGCTGTGTGAAAAGCCTGTGTGAAAATAGCAAAGCTTGATGGTTTAGGGCCAGGCTCTGATGTCAGTTCCATACTGGCATGGGTTGGATACTTAACCTATCAGTGTTTTCATTTCCTCACCCATAAGAAGGAATAAAAGCAGTTCCTATCCCGTTAGAGCCGATCCGAGAATTAAATGAGCTAATATATGTACCTGACACATGGTGAGCTTTAGAGAAGTGTTAACTCTGATCTTAGGGCAGCTGTGGGAGAGCTGAGGTCTAGGACCACAATATCCTCCTCGGCACCATCCCCTCCCCCAACACCCCAGGCTTGGCAGTGGGTGGGAGTGGGAGTCCTGTGGGAGAAGGCAGAGACACCAGCTGTAGGGGGCGGTCGATTGTGGGTTCCTACCGCGGCACCCTAAATACCCAGTGACAACTCACCTGGCCATGGCAAGTTAAGAAAACCACTGGCTTCCGTTGGCACCCTCGCAAGCTCTCCCTTACCTCCGCCCCCGGGGCGGGACTGTAGAGGCGTCCGTCAAAGAAGGAAGTCGTTCTGCCAGTGTAGAGGGTTCGGGAAGCGGAATCTGTAAGTGGCCTGGAGATTCACCCCCTCTGCCATCCCTGTGGGTTCGCAACTTTTAGAAGCCTCTCTCACCTTCCAGCCTGATGTCCTGCGTTAAGTTATGGTGAGTGGAGCGTGAGGTACGGATCCGCAGACACACACACACACACACACACACACACACACACACACACACACACAGGCCACCCCGCCGACTTGCTCTGGGAGAGCCTTTGCGCCGGTGCCAAGGGCGCAAAGGGTTGGGGCACAGTGGGTCTCACGGGGAAGGCTGGGGATTGAACTGAACGTGCCGAGTCACAGGGGTCGCGGGGAGGGGGGCGGTGCCGGGAGCAGCGCGGGCTTGGGGCCATGGCCAGCTGCTGACGAGGCCCCCTCTTTCAGGCCCAGCGGTACCCCAGCCCCCCTGGTGCCCATCAAGGAACTGGAGAACCCGAAATTCGTTGGCAAAGGCGGATTCGGTGCCGTCTTCCGGGCACAACACAAGACTTGGGGTTTAGAGGTGGCGGTCAAGATCGTGAACTCGTGAGTGACCCGAGCTGCCTGGCCGGTGGGCGGGTGCCAAGGAGGCGGGGCCTGAGTGGGGAAGGGAAAGATCTTTCCAGGAGCAGAGCGCGACCTCAACTCTCTTCTGAGGGCAGGAAGGCGATATCCAGGGAAGTGAAGGCCATGGCAAGTCTGCATAACGAGCATGTGCTGCTCCTCCTGGGGGTCACAGAGAAGCTGGAGTGGGACTACGTGTCTGGGCCGGCTCTGGTAACTCAATTCATGGAGAATGGTTCCCTGGAGGAGCTGCTCCGGACCCGGTGCCCTCGGCCCTGGCCGTTCCTCTGCCGTGTGCTGCAGGAGTTGGTGCTCGGAATGTGCTACCTACACAGCCAGAATCCTGTGCTTCTACATCGGGACCTCAAGCCCTCCAACGTCCTGTTGGACTCCGAGCTGCACGCCAAGGTCAGCCCATCCATAACCCAGCCCAACCTCTGCACAGGGTCCTGCACCAGAGCTGCTCCAGCTCCACCCACTGGACACAGGACCTGCTGTAGCCCTGTCTTCTGAGTACCCTCAGTAACTCCCTCTGGACACAGGGCTGCCCAAGTGTCAAGGCTGACCCAGGAGCTTTAACCCCTACCATACCAGGTGACAGAGGCTTTGACCAACATGGTCAGTTCCACAGGTCCACCCTACTGGGCCCTCTAAAGACCTATGGCTGGCCTAGCCCGGGAAACTCAGACCTTGACCCAGCCCCATGGAGAGGGGACCTAGACCTCCAACCAGGAGCCCCACTGGTCCTATCATTCCCCTAACCCTCCACACCACCTTTACAAGGCCGGGACTGCACCTTCTGCATGGGAGGCAAGGATTTTGGAAGCTTCCTGGCCCCATCCATCCTCTATCTCTTCCTTCTCTCCCTTTGCAGCTGGCAGATTTTGGCCTGTCCACATTTCAGGGAGGCTCACAGTCAAGAGCAGGATCTGGGGAGTCAGGGTGCACCCCAGCCTACTTGGCTCCAGAACTGTTGGCTGATATAAACCAGAAGGCCTCCATGGCCAGTGATGTCTACAGGTAAGGTATCCACTCCAAACACACACCCCCAGTTTCTACACCTCTCTGGGCCCTTCTAAAGGATGGTATATGGGAAAAGACTCTTGCCAGCAGCTGAGTCAAGTCTCAGCTTTTTGTCTCCTGCAGCTTTGGGATCCTAATGTGGGCAGTGCTGGCCGGAAGAGAAGCTGAGAGTAAGACTCTAGGCAGACTCTGGGATCCTTAACTTCAGGTGCCCCCCTCCCCCAAGCCACCAACTCCCCCCCACCAGCCCCCAAGCCCTCCTCTTCCTGTTCACCTGCTCAGACTGCCCAACTCCCTCCTCACCTCTCCCTGGAC